CTCCCTGCCGGCTCTGAGCATCGCAGCCGTGGGAGCGCAGCGCTCCGGGGCCATCTCGCCGGCTCCGTTCTCCTCCAGGCAGGCTGGAACGGCCAAGTTTAATGCAATTAATCCAGGGCTGGAGGCTTAATTACGTTCGAATGGTCAGGCGGAGAGCAGCGTTTTCTGGATCGTTGTCAATAAATCAAACTCCAAACTAAAGATAAAAGAGGACAAAACACACAGGGCGTGAGATGCTGATGAACAGAGCGAGGGGAAAGGGGAGGAGAGAACAGCTGGGCTGAGTCCGGAGCTGCCCTGCCTTCCCCTGTGTCTTCCCAGGTGTTCCAGCGACGGGAGGATGGCTCTGTGAACTTCTTCCGTGGTTGGGAAGCATACCGGGATGGCTTTGGGAAGCTGACAGGAGAGCACTGGTTAGGTGCGTGGGGTGTCCTTTGCAAACAACTGAACCAATGCACTCCAATGGTCAAACCAATGCACCCAGTGACTGAGCCAGCACACTGAAATAGCCAAACCAATGCACCCTGATGGTCAAGCCAATGCACACAGCGGCCAAAAGAGTGCACCCAATGGCTGAACCAATACACCCAATGACTGAACCAGTACACCCAATGGCTGAACCAATGCACCCAGTGATTGAGCCAGCACACCCAAATAGCCAAACCAATGCACCCAATGGCCAAAACACTGCACCCAGTGACTGAACCAATGCACCCCAATGGCTGGCACCCAGTACCCGTGTCTTGCATGCCATAGCCAGGCAGCCACAGGGAGTGCAGGGCAACTGCAAGGGTCATCGGTAGGCAGGTGAGCGGTGCTGCCATTTGCCCATGGGTTGCACACATGTCCTTGGCCAGAGCAATGGGGACTGGAAGTGGGGATCAGTGCATCCCAGGGACCCCACTCTGTCCTTCTCACCCCTCTCCATGTAGGGCTGAAGCGGATCCACGTGCTGACGGTGCAGGGCAGCTACGAGCTGAGAGTTGACCTGGAGGACTTCGACAACGGCACCGCCTTCGCACATTACGGCAGTTTTGGTGTGGGGCTCTTCTCTGTTGACCCCGAGGAGGACGGGTACCCCATCTCCATCTCTGATTACTCAGGGACAGCAGGTAGGGCCCCAACGGGGACCAAATCCCGTCCCCAGAGCATCTACTGAGAGCTGGAAGCTGGAGGGTGGCTGTGGTTGAGCGATGAGCCCGAGTGCCCTATATGGCACCAAGAAGCTCCATCGGGGTGCACAGGGCTTTGGAAGCCACCCTGAGGGCAGGGATAGGGGTGGGGAGGGCCCTTCACGGCTGCTTTACCTGCTGCAGGAGATTCCTTCCTGAAGCACAACGGGATGAAGTTCACCACCAAGGACCTGGATAACGACCACTCAGAGAACAACTGCGCGGCGTTCTACCACGGCGCCTGGTGGTACCGCAACTGCCACACCTCCAACCTCAACGGGCAGTACCTCAAGGGCCACCACAGCTCCTACGCCGATGGCATCGAGTGGTCCTCCTGGACCGGCTGGCAGTACTCCCTCAAGTTCACTGAGATGAAGATCCGGCCCGTCCGGGAGGAGAATTAGCGGATGGACCGAGCCCCTCCCTGACCCCCGCCCTTCCCACTGCCCCATGGTTCCTCTCTTCCTGGTGCACCCCATGCCACCATCCTGCCCTGGGGTCCTGTGGGAGCATCTCTCCACTGGGGACGATGGCTTTGTCCTGACCCCATGCCCTCTGCTCCCCACTGGGATGGGTGTCCTCTCCCTGGGCCACGCTCGATGCTCGCGGTGCAGTGGGGATTTGGGGAGCAGTGCACAAGGAGGGGAGGGGGCTGAGGGGCTGGAGACCATTTCTGGGGCACAGAGCCCCCACGGTGCTACTGAGGACAGGGAGGGCTCTGCTGGGTTGGTGCTCACACGAGTGCCAGTGGTTCCTTCTCTGTCTGCAAACATTCTCCTCTCTGTCCTCGGAGAGGGGAAGGGACACCTACAGATCTCACTGCCCCTGCTCGTGGAGCTGCACAGCATGTGGGCACAGCGCTGCAGGGATGGATGCCCACAGCCAAGCATGGCACAAACCTGTGTGCTGGCATCAGCGAAGCAGAGAGCAGGAGGAAGAGGAGGAAGCAAGGAAGGCTCAACCCTCAGTACAGCTCGGCCTTCCCTGCACAGCTCCTGCCCAGGACGATGGGTTTTCACCATTCAGAAGCTGTGACCTTGCCCTCTGCTTCAGCAGCACCCCCACAGAGCCCCCCGCCCAGCAACCCGCATTCATTTCCATCCCCGATGAGCCACGCTCCAGCTCTGGCTCTGCACCTGCAGATATTCAAAGCCTTTCGTTTCTTCAAATCCCATTAAGGTTTTGCAAAAAGCAGCCCTGAGTGGGGCTTAGCATCTGCAGGGCGCTGATAACAGGGCTGCATCCTCAGCCCACCAAGCACTGTGCTGCTGAGGGGTGCAGCAGCCCCGGCCCCATAGGAATGGGAGAGGCTCCCACAAAGATTCCAATGGGGGCTTTTGTCCAAAAAAACCCCAATAAAGCTGGTGTGAGGGGAGGGGAAGCCAGGACCCCCTGCACCTTTGCATCATTTCCCGCAGCACTGAGGATACAGCCCCACAACAGACCCCAGCCCCATGGAGAACTACTGGAGCGTCCTGAGGAGGGGAGGACAGACCCAGAGCTGTGCTGCGCGGGGACCCAAAGCACAGTGAGATCAAAGGTTCATTCCTGCAGCCGCAGCTCTGCACTTCTCAACGTGCTCCTTTTTTTAAGTCTTCCCCTGCTCTCATTCCACACTGGATGAACGTTTCCTCCTGCAGGCAATTCTCCATCCCTCTGCCCTATGGGGAGCGGGGACACATGATGTGCTGGGACCACCCTGAGCCAGAGACATTGCACTGCTCACATCCAACCAAATCCACAGGGGGGGCCCCACACCCCGCAAAGGGCAGAGGCTGCAGGGCCATGCTCACCTTTGCTGCTAGCTCATTGATTTCGGTGGGTCAGACATAGCTGGTTCCTATAGCATTCGCCTTCGGGAGGAAGGACCCAGAGCCCATGTGTGGGGTCCTTGTGGTCCCGAGCTCTGAATGGACAGGAATGGGGTGTTGTAGTGTGTTGGTAGCACTTCCCTGCGTCCTGCCCGTCCCAACCAGGACTCCCAAATGAGTTTGTTTCGCATTGCACGAGAGGTATTCCATACAACCCGAGATGATGGATTTTCCAGGATGAGTGCTGGGAGTGCACATGGCACTCAGTAACCCCAGACTGGGATGAACCCACTCCCAGTGCCACCTCCCCGGGGTGGCCATGGGGACTTTAGGGGACGGCACAGCTGCAGTCTGGTGCTGGGGACAGAAGGGGAGGTGCGTGGCTCCAGGGCTGGAGCACAGCCATGTCCCTCCCCGCGGCCGTCGTGTCGTGGTGCTGTGCCGTGAGGTCTCCATTGTGTGTGAGTGGTGTCCAGCGCTGTCCATGTGGACTTTCTGAACTCCTTAATAAAAGGAACTCATCGTTACTGGCGTGCTCTCCTCTATGGTCGTGGCACAGGGACACCACCAGAAGGACAGTGGGAGCTGCAGCCCTTTGGGAACCCCACGGGGAACCCAAACCCAGGGGAAAGCCGCAGTGTGCGGATGGGCACAGCACTGAGTGGGGTCCCAGATCCTTTCACCCACTGCTCACCCCTATACAAGATGTGGGGGGGGACAGCCAAGCGCCGGGTGCTGGGGACCAGCCGGTGGCTGTGAGCTTTGGCCAAGCAGGGTGGGAACAATTGGGCTTCTCTGCGTGGGGTTGGGTTTCTGAGTGGCTCCAGGAGTGCAGGAGCATCTGTAGGGTCTGCACACCCATCTGGACCTGCAATGACAGGCACACATGGTGCTGCAGGTGGGAGTGCTCGTGTCCCCAACCAGCGTCACTGCCGCTGGCTCCAAGCCAAGAGCGCGGCTCCTGCTCAGCCTCTCCTCCAAACGAAGCCACAAATGAAGGCGGCTCATTAACCCTGTTGTAGTGGCTTGGCCAGCCCCCATCCCCTCTGTCCCCCCCACCTCCCTGCAGCAGCCCAGCCTCCGGCAGGAGGCAATTAACACCCGCAGGTATTTAATGGCCAGCTCAGCCCGGATGCACGCAGGGCAGCGCGGAGCAGGGCCAGGTGCTGGGCATCGCCCAAGGCAGAGAGGTGAGTGATGGGGACAGCAGAGACATCCCTGGGCTGCAGGAGTGGGAACACCTCAGGATGGGATGGGGCTGGAGCAGAGCAAGGTGCTCCCTGTGTTTGGCTTTGTGATGGGAGCATCCTGGTCAGGGGCAAGGTGGGATGGAGGCACGGAGTGCCCCAAAGCAAAGCCCATAGCAGGAGGGGAGCTGGCACCCACAGTGCTTTGGGCTCAGCGGGGTCTGCAGGAGAGCAGAGCACCCAGGTGGGGCAGGTACCCCATCCCCCAACACCAGAAGTGATTTTTAAGGCAGCATCTCCTGAAAATAATAATAACAATAATAATAAATTAAAGCTCCATTCTCCCTCTCTGAAGTTTTGCAGAGCTGCCCAAGGTCACCCAGGCACCGCTCAGCCCCATAAAGCAGAGCGATGGCTGCGAGCTCCTTCCTCTGCACGCATTAACGGGGCGCTGCGGGTGGGACCTGCACACTCAGAGCTGAGCACTGCTCAGGTGAACGCACTTAAGTCCTCCCTGCAGTGCTGCTAAGAGGAGCACGCGGCTGCGGCTCCCATCAGCTGCTCCCATCAGCCTGCCCCGTTAACAGCCCCATGCAGCCAAGCCGAACCGTGCCAGGCCTGGCAGCAGACCAGGGGAGGGACTGCAGGCTTGTAGAGAGGGAGGGAGAGGTCAGGAGGAGAAAAGATGCAGGGAGAGCAGCTCAGTGAGAGTTTGTAGGGGTGCCGGAGGGGTTTTCAAGGGTGCTGCAGCACATACATGGGTATCTGCCCCAAAGCAATACTGGTACATAGAGGGGATGCTCTGTAGCAGGGGATGCTCCACGGGAGGGATGCTCCATGGAAGGAAGCCCTTGATGCTCCCAAGGATGCTGAGCACTTTGCCATCTCTCTCCCTCTCTGTGTCCCCCCAGATGAGAGCATCCTACTCACTGTCCTGCCTCATCCTGCTGAGCCTGGGGGCCTGCTGCCCACCCCACGAGCACCGACACCCCGAGGATGTGCTGGAACCACGCTGGCGAGGAGCGGTGGCTGAGGCCGTGGGTCCCTGTGGGTGGGCAGCCCCGACGCGGCGGCGAAGCGAGGAGCTGGGCACACTGCTGGGCATCGCCCGGGTGCTGCGGGGCTACGGGCAGCAGCACGGCGAGGGCCCACGGGGACGGCAGGAGGGCTCGGAGAAACGCGGCAGTGGTGGCACGCTGGGGGACCTGGCTGAGGAACTCAATGGCTACAGCAGGAAGAAAGGTGGCTTCGCCTTCCGTTTTGGGAGGTGAGGGCTGCGGGGTGAGCTGCATCCCCACCATTCCTGATGCCTCGCCCTGGAGCGAAGGAATCTGCGGGGTGGCTGCTGGGGTGCCCCGGGGAGGGGAGGCATCGTGTTTGCTTTGCATTCAACCCTGCCCCACATCTCCCAGCCTCAGAGATGGAAGAAGAGGAGGGAGCCCTGCATCCCTTCCTTGGGGACGTGGAGTGTTGGCCGGGTCCCGGAGCTGTGCGTGCCATGCTGGGACTGCTGTTGAAGATAGAGGGAGGTGGACTGCAGGGCTGCAGCGGGGTGATGCTGCAGTGACAGTCCCCATGGGGACAGCCCAATCACAGCCGTGGGTGTGGAGCAGCGCTCTGCGCTCTCCTTCCTATTAATGAGAAGCCCCTCCGGCAGCAAATTCTGCTTAGTGTCACACTGCCACTTGCATGAGTGAGCTCCTGCGTGCCAACCCAGACACGGCAGCGGGGCTGGAGAGCGTCTTACCCCTAAGACATCCACATGTGAGCACGCAAACCTGCCCCAGACCGACCCGATGCAGCCATCCCTAGCGGGTGGCACAGCAGTGACTGACCTCCAGCATCCTTGTTCCCCTCCTGCCCTCACCTACATCCTCCCATCCAGCCCAGCACTGCAGGAACACATGGTGCAGAGAGGCTGGAACAGCCCCAGGTGCCACAGCACTGCACTCCAGTGCCAGAGGCAGTTTGGGGAAGAGCCCAGCAGCCCCACAGCCATTCTGCCTTCTCCTTCAGGGAGATTTAGCACTGCCAATGCCAACACTGCCCTTTGCTCCTGCTAAGGCAGAGGTGTCAGCAATCCCAGCTCCAGCTGCCTCACTCAGGGCAAGTTCAGCACCGAACGATGCTCCTGTTTCAGTGCAGGCACAGAAGTGCAGCAGGGCAATTGTTTGCAAGCGCTAAATTGCACCCTCAAAATCAAAGGCTGCGTCAGGATTCGGGTGGGGAAAAAAAAATAAAATATATATATTAAAAAAATCTGCCTCCAAGAGGTGCATTGCAACACCCATCAAGCAGACAGAGCACCCAGTGCAGCGGGGCTGGATGGGCTGCGAGCAGCAGGGACAGGTGTCCATGGGTCAGGGGTGTGGGAGGGCGGATGGACAGACAGATAGATGGACAGACAGAGCAGGGAGTGCGGGCATGGGAGGGGTAGGATTTGGGGTTTGCTGGGATGCAGGTGGTGCTGAGATTGGCACGGGGGGGCTGAGCATGGCCCCCCAATTCTGAACTCTCCTCTGCTCCCCACAAACCCCCCAGCAGCACAGGGGTGTGGGCACACTGCTTTCCCCCAGTGTTGGGATGGGAGGCTGTATCGATGTTTCTATGGCAACATTTCTTTCTTCCTCCTTTTTTTTTGAGTGTTCGTAACATCAATAAATATGCAGTGATCAATTTTACCCTGTGCTGGAATGGGAGGGAGGAGAGGAAGGGGACTGTTTGGGAGCGGGCTCATCATCCCAAAGAGGAATAGGGTCAGAACAGCGTGACAAAGCCACGTGCCCAGCAAGGCTCTGACTGAGGCACAACCACCTTTCTCTGTGCTGTTTCAAAGCAAAAGCCTGCAGTGCTCACCTGGAGCAGAGCTGCACAAGTGCCCATAGCGGGGAAGAGGCTGCATCAAAGGACACCAGGATCCCAGCACCAAGATCCCATCACCTGGGTTTGTCCTCGTCCCTCTGCACTGCCAGCACACAACAGGCACAGCAAAGCTCCCAAACACAAGTGGGTGCTTGGCTCGGATTGAAGTACGAGCAAAGGACTCCTGCAGGGGGCTACTGCATCACTGCAGGGTCACTGAGCACAGATGGGATCTCTAGCAGAGGTGGAAGGATCAGTGCACATCCAAGGGCGAGGCAGGGAGCTGCTCCCATCGGTGTGGGCAGTGCTTCACACATCTCCAGCACCAACCCAGCTGGGGAAAAAGGAGTTATGCACAAAACACTGACCACGTTTTCCATCTTATGACAAGCAACTACTCAAAAAACAAGGCAGGATGACATTAAAGGGAAACTTAAAAGAGTGAACATTGTAATTTCAAAGACACAAAAAGCAAAACAAAAACACAAACACAGCTATTTTTCCCCTAGAGCACTCTCACTTTCAAGCTCAATAGCCTTGAAAATTGGAGCAATCAAACTGTTAAATGCATCGATCTGTTAAATCAACTCCTACTGTACTCGGCTAAATTTAGCCTTTAATCCCTCTTTCACTCCCAACACCGCAGATCCCAGGGCTTTCCCCAGCTGGGTCAACTGACCTCTGCCTTCCCACGCCAGCAGACCATCCCAGCAAAGAGGGATGGACATCCCCAGGAATGATCCTATTCAGGGCCAGGCAGAGCTTCTCCAGCTCAGCCTACAGGTTCTCACCGTCCTCAAGCCGTGATCCAGCCCCACACAACCACAGCCAGAGCTCCTGCTGAGCTCTCATGCCCTGTGCTGGGGCTCAGAGTGCACCAGGGATTGAGGGGGTCAGAAATGGGGTGACCTGGGACAGAACCCAAAAGCATCACCAAGCAACTGCAGAGCCTCGGGCACAGCGCTCCCACTGCCCTCTCTTCCTTCTCATCCTGCTTTGTCCTAATGGTTGGACTAGATAACCTTTGTGGTCTTTTCAGCCTTAGTGATCCTATTATCTTCATTTATTAAGGCAGAACATCTCATTTCAGACACTGCCTGGCACTCAATACTAACCTCAGTGCCACTCCGCCTGGACGCCCCTGTCCAAACGTGCCCTTTAGCAGAGGCAGCTGGCATTGAAAACATTTGTTAACAGGCAAACACGGGCTTTCCTCAACATTGATTTATTTTTAAATATACTACGCAAGAGAGGCCGGAATAAAAAATGAATCAAAAAAAAAAAAAAAGTGGAGAAAGAGAGGAGGCAGAATTGAAAGCCGTGTACAGAAACAATCTGTACTGGACCAAATTAAAGAGGAAACAACCCCCTTAAGTATCACAGAGATGAAGGACAGAGCTATTTACACACTGTAAAAAAGACAAGTCTACAAAAGTAGTGTAATAACGAGATACAAATGTATAATATAGTGGCACAATATGTTATCAAAGTAAAAACAGTACCTCCAGGAAAGAGACAGTCCAAGGTGTTTTGTTTTCTCTTACATTTTTAAAGGCAGCCTGTGGCAGAAGTGTGTATTTTCTTTTAAACATTTGTCATGGGTTAAGTCAGGGCTGTTTGTGAGGGCGAGGAATGGCGTGAACACACAGAGTGAACTACTGGAAATCATATACAAAACGTCAGTTCCAAAGAGAACAGCATAAAATACAATTGAAGGCAATCAGTGTTTAAGATACACAAGAGGGGCCACAAAAGTTACGGGGAACAGGACATAGAAAATATGTTTTTTTCCTCTTGTTTGGAACTGTTAAGAAGTTAAATTGCACTGTTAATAGCCCTAAACCTTGCTTTTTCACTACAGTCACAGGTCACAGTTAGTCCCCAGTTGTGTTGCATCACTTGGGAAAGTTACAGGACCGTGGGCAGGAAGCCCAGCAGCCTTGCTGTCATTATTTTGGGGCAGCTTCCTTGGGAGATCCGCCCAAAGAGAGGTGGCTGCAGTCTTCACAGAACCTCATATGATGGGTGCAGCCACACAGCCATGAAGGCAATGACAGTTCCAACCCCAAAGTGCCGGCATCCGAGCTCTCCACAGGGAGCTGGCACTGGCATGGCAAGGGTAGGGCACCAGTCTCAACAGGAGCACGGGAGCCAGGCCCACAGAACGGAAAAGGCTGCAAATACAACTAGAGAAACAGCAGTTCTTGCCCATCTCGATGTGCAAGCTCAACTGAAGCAACTGCTGCAGGCACAGTGGTATCTTTGAACTCGGCCCAAGCTATCCCCTCCTGTCACCCACAGAGCAATGCTTTGCTCAGCACAGCCTGCTGCTCCCACACCTCCTCTGCCACCCCGTGCCCCGAGCACCAGCCTGAATAACACCAGCAGCGTCCTCCTTCAGCCCTCTGCCAGTTCCTTTAGTGCTACCGTGGGAGATCTGCAAATGCTGCTGCATCAGTGGGTGCTGTCCACAACAGTCTGAACCCAGGCAGCTCAGCTGGGCTCAACAGCATCAAGGAAACACTGAAAACACAGATAGGGCAGCAGGTGGAATCATAGGAAGAATGTGAGTAAACATCACTTGTAGCATTCTATCATTTTTTAAAGTTACATTAACAACTTCCCTCCCCTCCTCTCTCAGATTCCAAATCTGTTGCATTAATGCCAGGTTAAATGTCAGACTCAGGCCAGGGATGCATGCTGCAGCTCTCCCAAGAAATGCAATAGGTATATTGCTATTCAGACACTCAGCCTTGTGTACAGTGGGGCAGAACGCAGTAGGAAGTCCTCCTGAGGAGGATGGCATCTCAGTGTCCATCAGTCTGGCTTCAGTCTTAACATTTTGTCCAGAACAATAAAATATTAATAAAAAGGCATGACGTGACATCAGCACTTAGACTTGTAGTCCACAAGGCAGGAACTCCACAGATAAGACGATTACAAGTATATGAAACACAGGGAATCTGGGCTAAGAGGGTGGAAAGTGCCTCTTGAACACAGCCCTGCTCTTTGGAGCTGGGGCATCCATCAACAGTCTGCGCCTTTCGCACAGCCCAAACCCAAACGCCCCAGTCCTCGGTCAGTCCACACATGCTGTTACTCTCTCCACAGTTGACTTTGGCCCACTGTGATTTATTTATTTTTTTTTTTCCAACCTGGCTTCTGCTACCTCTGAACAATGTCGCTGATTTCTTTCACAGAACTGAGCAGTTTGCTAAAGTCCTGCGTGGCCGCAGAGCCGCTGCCAGCCGTCGCTGGGCAGATCTGAAGCTCCCGCAGGTTGTTCTCCAGCTTATTGATGGCCTCCCGAAAGGCAAATTTGTTCCTCATCTGCTGTATGGAGTCCACGTAGCTCACGCAGAAGGTGTAGAGGTTCTTGCCAGCCTCCAAGACGGTGCTGTGGCTCGCCATTTGTTCTGAGTTCTTGCTAATGGCCAGCCGTAGAGCCTCAGTGCTTTCCAGCACCACCCCTTTGGTGATGGTGCCGCTGGCAATCCTCTCTGGGGGCTGACGGGTCTTCCGCAGAGAGACCCTGGTGGATATGAGAGGGATGAAGGCTGTAGATGATGGCTGGTCCCCCCCTGGGGCAGAGGGTACAGATGAGGAAGAGGCAGCTGAGGTTGCTGTGCTCATCAGCAGCTTTGTAGAGGACTGTGGCTTTGGTACAGAAGGGATCCCTAGCTTTTTCACACCTTCCCCCGACTGGTTTGGCTTGACAGCTTCACTGCTCACAGCATCTGCAACCTGAGTCAACTGTTTGGATTTAGGACCAGACACCACATCTGTTGCTGCTTCATGGCTGGGACTGTGAGATACTTTTCCAGGCTTGCCAACAGAGGATGAAGACAGTGGAACTGGAGGGGCTGGCTTCAGCTTCGATAACTTCCCTTTGTCCTTCCCTGCCAACTCTGAGGTCTGCTTGAGCCTCCTCAGCCGCGGCTCCTCGACAGAAGCTTTGTTGGCACCTGCAAATGCAGCAGAGTTGGGTTTGGCAGCAGAACCTTGGTCCATTGTCACAGTGGTACCTAAGGCACTGGATTTGACTCCATCGTCCTTGTGCAGCACGCTGGAGGAAGGGGGGATGGCGGGTTGCCTACGGCCAAGTTTTGGAGTCAGAGTGGGTGGGCTGGAGCCAGGACTAGACTCCACATCTTTGAACACATCATCAGTGGTCTCTTCGTTTTTCTTAAGCAGCCGTGGAGGGGGGGTCACCGTCCCCCTGACAGCAATGTCAGTCTTGGCCTCATTTGCCCGTTTTCGAGGCAGCGCTGGCTTTTCACTTTTGTGTCCCCCAAAAGTGGAGGAATCAAACTGGCGTCCTGTGGACTGCAGATCCCGAGGCAGAGTCACAGATTTCCACTCCGTGTCCTTTGCACCGTGGGGCACACAGGAGGCTGAGCAGGACCTTAAGAAACGCTTGCTGGAGTTGGAACTGCTCTCCTCCTCACCAGACACCCCCCGGCTGCTGCTCATTGTGCTGGACTTCTTCCTTAAGTGGGGAGACAAAAACCCAGAGTTCCCAGCGACAACCCCATTGGTGACACCAGCCCCATTGCTTGGGGTCTGAAACTTGGAGGGCTCAGCTGCTTCTGTGGGAGGAGCAATGGAAGCTCCATTGCCAGCATCCCTGCACTCCTCCTCCCCACCCGCCCTGCGGTCCAAGTGGCCATCCATCTCTCGGAAGGAGCTGCTCCGTTTTGGAGGGGTAGGAGCAGTCTTCTTCTTCTTCTTGATGAGGGCACTGAAGAGGTTGGGCTTTTTGTCTTTTGGAAGCAGCCTCTCATCTTCATTCAAACTGCTCTCCAGGGCCACTCTCTCCTTCCGTGGCAGCAAAGGAGAAATAGCAGGTTCATGGTCCAGAGGATCTGCAAGGGAGAGAAAAGAGAGTACTGAGCTTTTCTTCAACAGCCAAGACAAGCTGCTTTCTTCCAGGATCTAAACTATGTCAGCACCTCCAAAAGGTGCAGCTTCTGAAAAGAAAACCACCCTCAGACCAGGAGTAATGCAAGTACAACTACACTGAAGCCCAGACTGAACATGATCCCTAATCCCCCATACACTCACCTGTGAGGTGGCCAGACTTGGCTATCAAACTATGCTCCCTGTAGGCTTCTGATTTAAACAGCAACATACAAACACGTACAAACACAAACTGTTTCCGTTCAGATTCCCATCCTTGCATCTAGAGACTTATCTTTTTTTCAGTATGAAGTTTAGACAAATATAATGAGGCTTCTTCTTCAGTCCCTGTGAGGTTGCTGCCTTTAGAACAGCTGACCCTCTGAATTAATAAGAAATCTATGTAATCCACCCTTGTTCTTTTAGCTTCTGATACTCCTAACCTCCTTCCCTGATGTCATTCTTCATAGGGAATGGAAATAACTCTTTCACAAGCAGAAACCAAGACATCCCTTGGCAGCTGAATGCCTCAGGTCACATCACCACGAAGATCACCAGCTTAGTACAGTAGTGGAGGGAAGTGGGAATAACAGCCTCCTTCAGCAGGATTGCTCCAGAAGGAAACGGTGGGGTGACCCTTTCTCCACTTACAAGAGGTATTTAAAAATGAATAGTGGTTTATAATAAATTTATACTGAGTCCTGCATGTCTCTGTATTTGACTGACTGGGGGTCTCATTCCAGGCCAGGCACTCAGATGGCATGCTAATTCAAGAGAGCAATGCCTTTAGGGCAGCATATACATTTAGAGCTCAAGTAGGTAGTAAGAAAGGAGATGAAGCAGACACATAGATCAAAAGAAGGCTGCTGCTTAGGCACATACTGGTGATCATCATGCAGAGGGTAAGATTTTGGTTGAGGAGGAAGAGTTAGAAGAAAAACAGTTGTGTTCTTTGGGAAAAGAGTGTGCTTCCAAAGGACCAAGTGCAGTTGAACCATTCATATGTAAACTGAGGTAGACCTCAACAAATAGAAGAGCTCCATAGCACTTCAGGTGATCAGGGCTGTACTGTGACCAGACACAGTGGAGCTGTGGGGACCCAGGGAAAACTAGCAGCTTCCATTAAGGACTAGCTTCCAGCCACTGGACTATGAGAACACTGACAACTGAATAGGAAATTGCAATGAAACCTTTATGGGAAATGCGTTTTTCACAATAAAGACTGAAATAATAACCAGCATAATGTTAAAATCATGTTATTCCTGCTGCACTTGAATCTCTCAAAGTCCTTAAGCATTTAAATGAAGCTATTTTACTTCAAAGCTTACAAAACTAGGCAATTATGCCTCCTATATACTGCAGGCTGGATTTACCACTGGTCTTTAACACTATGTTGCATTAATTAAGTTATAATAAAAATAGAGGCATACTGTGTTCAATATTCAAATCTTTTTCCAAAAGAAACAGAAGATTCTTTGTATTTTCATTAGAAAACAAGTCAATTCATAAATCAGTACATTCCTGAGCCCTTCTGTAAATAACTTTATTTTCTCTTTAAGTCACTGACACTTTTCCAACATTTTACACTCCCTCATGTGTGTTTTTTTTTTTTCCTTCTTTGTTGAGATTGAGTTTGCTACTCAAACGTGTAGCACTAGGTGAGTTTGTCATCATCCTAAAAAGGTCAGTCACATGTATGGTCAGACAGGGCGTGTTTATCATGCACTGTATTTTGTTTTTATCTTGCTGTTTTTCAAGCAAACTGGATACAAATCTATTGTACAAATTCAATGTCTTACCACTGCGTTCATTACCTCAAAATGGAAGAGAAATGCTTGGAGAAACTGATTGAATAGAGTTTAATTTCATGGAAGATTCTGTAAATACCTCTTTGTCCCTTGCTGCAATTATATTTGGTACCTGCCAAGAGTAATACTCTTCACTGCTGCAAGCACAGAACTGGTATGATGAAACAGTGAAGAAACCTCCCTTATGGGGCTTGCTAAACCTGAGCAATCGTGCTGCTTTAAATTATGCAGTGTGGTAGTGTAAAGAGGCTTGAACACAGCAGATTACCCAGAGCTCAGATGCAGTGGGAGATTCCACTGATAGCTCCTACCAGGGAATGGGAAGAGAATGTGACCAGAGGGCTGTGCTCAGGCTCTGGTCTATAGGGAGCTGTAGGCAATTGCCATTAAGTTAAAAGAACTCCTAGGATTTCTCTAAGCAACGGCAGGTATAGCACCAACTGCTCAGCCAGCTATGGATTCACACTCCCAGATGCTCTATGTTTGTATCCGGTCCCAAGATTAACAGCCTGCCTTTCTGTAATAAATGACAGAATTCTGAACGCAGGAAAGCAAACCTAGCAGCCTGTCACCCAGAAATACAATGCTGATAGACAAAGATGGCACCTGTTTTCAGACATGGCTTTTCCTAGGTGAAGACCTGAGCACGCCTTTTGTTTTTCTATTATTTCCTGAAGGAATAATGACTTTAATTAAAACCTACCACATTCCCCCTGGCCTCGAGCATGTGCAGTCTCCAAGCCCTCGTTCGCATCTTTGCTTTCAGCAGCTCTCCTCGATGTTCGTGTCTTGGTTGGTAACTCTGGGGCCTGAAGGAAATTGCTCACTACACTCCTCATGCCCTTCTTTCCCAATTCCTTCTCCACCTCTGCAATGCACAGAAGAAAAAAAGATCACTGTAATACACAGAATATAAAAACCAGAGCGCTGCTCCGAGTTAATTGCACAAAAGAAATGAAACAGCACAAAGAGGGAGATCCTTAGGGCTGGTCAGCCATTTGGCTCTTTATAGTTAGACACGTGCCCCTGTGAGCTACGTGCACAGTCTGGGACACAAGTGTCCCTTGTCCCTGGAACTGCCAGCCCCAGAGGGACCCAGACCTACCATCTGATATGCTGGATTCCTGAAACATCGTTTCAAACGCCTGATGGATCTCAGCAAAGGAAGGCCTGTCGGAGGGGCTCCACTGCCAGCCTGCAAAAACACCAGCACTGAGAACTTCCTACCAGCACCACACACCCATTACGGCACACTAGGAGGTGCTAGCTATCACAGTTCCCTTTTTATAAAATGCCCGAGAGAGAACACCAACATGGAAACTTGGTGTGAATGGTGCTGGGCATGTGCAACCACCACTGAGCCAAAGTAAGGGCAGGTGTAGAGCACCTCAGGAAGAAAAAATACCACATTACAAGTCACATACCAAGAGGCCACAGCGGAAAAGCAACACCCGGTGCCTTAAGCCTACCAACCTCCTCTGTCACCCTCGCAGCACAAGTTTTTCTGTAAGCAGTCAGGGAAATGGAGGAAAAAAAACCTCTGAGCTGAACAGCAAATCTCTCCCCAAGGCCTGTGAGCCCCCAGCAGGGAGGAATGGCTGGCTTCACAGTGCTTCCATCCTCTGGGGAAAGCAGCTTTAACCAAGCACCTCCACACAGCACTGCATCTTCACCAGATCCAACAGAAAGTTTCTCATTTCTGGCTGGATGTGACCAGATCCAACCACGTTCGTTGCATTTCTGAAGAGCTACAAAGCAGCATTTGCATTTGCAAAGCTGAAGAAGACTTACATGCTCTCATGAGCTCATACACTTTCTCAGGACAGCCTTCAGGGCGCTCCATGCGGTAGTCTTTCTCCAGCAGCTCATAGACTTGAGACAGGTCGATCCCAGGGTAAGGGGACATGCCATAGGTTGCAATTTCCCAAAGCAGAACACCAAAGGCTGCAGTGGGTAGAAAAGAAAAAAGAAAAATCAACAAACCCTGTTTTCCTCTTAAATTTGAGAAGATGTTTAGTGGGAGTAGTCACTAAACAGCGCAGCACACTTAAACCAGCTCTGAGTGGCTCAGGCTCCATGCTCAGCGTTAGCTTCAATGTTAAAGCAGTGGAACAAGCCTCTTCGTCAGCATAGACAAGTCTCCTGCGATATGACAGAATAGAATTAGACTAATTTTGAATGTATCAGTTGTCTCAAACCTGAACGCCTTGAGATCCTTCAAGTCCTATTAAAGGCACAATTAAGAGACTTCACAGTGGATTAGCTGAGACTGTTTCACTGCAGCACTGCAGTCTCTCTCTCAATTTGACAGCTCCTCTCATCTGCAGTCTCTCCCTAGAGGACCGGCACGTTTTAATAGCTCAGTGTTTTTTGGGGTGCCCTTGTTTAGCTGCAGACTGGACGGGAAAGAGGGGGCTGGTGGTCAGAGCAGATTTTCAGCAGTTGCTACCAACGAGACCAAGTCTGCGTGAGACATTTTGGTCACAGGGAAAGCTGAGCAGAAAAAGAGAGTACAAAAAGGTTCTTTAAACAGGAGAGGCATTCAAGTCCCCAGACTCAGCGGGGATGCAGGTCAGCACCGGGGTCAGGCAGCTAACCCAGGAGTCAGCCATGCAGAATAGACTCAACACCAGTTCAACAACCTGCATGTAATTGGTTCAGTCACCCTATTCTGGTCTTAAACTGAAGAGAAAGCGATTACAATTCTGCATAAGTAAGGAAATCACATCACATTACATGGTAACACCACCAAGGGCAATTTACATTAGACATTTCTGTGCACAATTTTCTTTGATTTCTGTCTCGAGGCAGCGAGGTGAAAAGCATCTAAACCCTGGCATGGCCAGCAGCAGCCGTGACCTCTGGGGACAACCAGCTTGCTCTGATCAGATCCCCAAGTCCACCGCACTGACTGTCACTCTGCAAGGTCACACCAACCCTAATTAAAGATACCCAATATTCCTTTCAGATCTTTCCTCCCGGAGTACTCCACTACTGCAGTACAACAGGGCTCCCTGCAGCCACCCGGCGCGGCCAGCAGCGTCACACAGCAGCTCGGAGCAGAAGAAACGCTTAGCTCAGCTCCCTCATCTCTAAAACATTTTGTATCAGCCATGCCCTACGAGTTCCTTCAAAATAAAGCCTCTCTCTGCACCGTTTCTTCAAAACTCCAGAGAACTTCACTGCTGCTTCACTACTGTCTGATCTTTTAAAGACACAGCAGATGCTCGGGGTAACGTTTTCAAAGCACCCCTGGGACGAAGTCCCACCAACTTCTATCGTATGTCACTGGGCACTTCTGAGAATTTGACCAATAGCTATGGAAGAGATATAAAACCCAAAGAAAGGCTGATAAAAAAGTAGAATGAGATTTTCTGCAGTCAGATTTCATAGAATTTAGCTCCATTTAGCTAAGCCTAGTCTTATCATCAGCACCTCAGGGCTCTTCAATAACCATTTGTCATCAAATTTTCTCTCTGTTTCTGCTCATCTCATTCCAAAGATTATTCTTTTAAAATGCAGAAAGACGAGCTCGGAGCTATCACCAGACAGACAGATATACACATAATTTTTTAACATAAAATGAAACAGATCCTCACTTTTCTCCTTGAAGTCGTTTGAAAGTTCCTGGCGATAAAGCAATATATTGCTTCACAGCTCTGTGCCAGAGCTCCATCAAGTCAGCAGCACGGGTGCCCTCCAGCCCCATTTCATACAATTCTATAAACACCACGGTGTCCTTTGTTTTCATACTTGTCAATGACTCAAACATGTGAAGCCAGGTCTGCACCCTCAGTTCTCCACTCCAAGACCGACTTGGCAGAGATTAATTCCTGCACTCTGATACAACAACACAGCTCAGAGAGGGGAGCGTGCTCTCTCCTGAAATGTTTTGCAGCGTCCTCATTTCGCAGCCCAAAACAGGAAAGGAAGGCTGTACAAGCCTATAACCTGAATTAATTTGTTCATGCAAATTCTTACCCCAGACATCAGATTTAATGGAGAACTTGTTGTAGGCCAGGCTCTCTGGTGCTGTCCACTTGATCGGGAATTTGGCCCCAGCGTGGGCAGTGTACGTGTCACCTGTCATCAGCCTGCTCAGGCCAAAGTCTGCCACCTTCACCAAGTGGTTCTCTCCTACAAGGCAATTTCTGGCAGCAAGGTCCCTAAAAACAAGAACAAAAACAAAACAGGCAATGAGAAGTCTATCCTGTCACTTGTAGCAAGAGTGAGGAAACAGCAAGAGGCTGTTCCCAAAAGAAGCCTGGGCCTGCATGTGATTATTTTGATCAGGGTATTACACAGAAATTATGCAGCTCTGCACACACATGTAAGAAGGAAAGTTATTTTCCATTCCGGCTTTGTAAGACTGTCAGCCCAACTTTTCTTTTTTTTTTTTTTTTTTTAAATGCAAAATGAAAGTTCCAAGAACCCCCTCACTTTCAATAAAAGCTGCCACCCTCAGGATAAAAATAATGTAAAGAAATGTCAGTGCTCAAGTTATCAATAGCTGAGGATGAGCGCTGAATTAAAGACGTCGCAGTGCCTCCCCTTCTTGCCCACCTCTCCAACGCTTCCATCGACCCAAACACCACCACTCACCCTCCAGAACTCCTGTCCCAGTCCCTGCTCAGCACCAGGTTTAACTCCCTGCTAAGTACCACATACCTTACAGCACAATATTTTGTACCATACCCCCCAAAAAGCCGCGGGTGACCATAAGGACAACTCAGTGACAGCACCCACAAAAGCAGCAACCCCAGCTGCCTAGTGAGGAGGCAGAACAAAGCCTGTGCAGGACAGCAGTTTCTTCTTACTCTTTCAGCCCTAATCTTCAAACAAGAGTGGTTCTGCCCTTTTCAAGCTACCCTGGCCTCTGCTATCAGTACTTATGTTTTCAGAAGACTGGATAATAAGCAGATCGAGCCTTTCCTCCATGTTTTTTCACCTTGGCAGGTGAGAGATGCACACATTGCATTTGCCACCCCCCTGGCTCAAACATGCTGCCAGCATGCTCAGCAATGCATAGAAATGTAAAGCACAGAAATACATTTCTCCTAATACCAGGTTTCATTAAAAACACTTTTTCAGATTATGTTACATTGAACTAAAAATTGATTCTACCAGAAAAGGTGAGATGTTCTCTAGATACGAGGCAGACTCTGCTGTTTCTTTTGCTTATTCTGCTCAATGGGAATAAATTAGGGGGGAAAAAAAGTACATCTTACTAGATGCCCATTATATTTTCACAATGTTTTTGAATATATCTTCTTATCAATCCCGATTACTACAATGTATGTCTAAATAAAAGCTCCTCTTCATAATCAAATTCCTCCCCCCTTCCTGATTCATTAAATGAGGTCACAGCCCAGCATTTGAATCCACGGATGTGAATTGTGACAACACTCTTAAAATAATTGGGTAGGTGGATATGGGGGTGGCTGATAAGGAAAAACGCTACTATTTATTTTAGATAAATGGGTCATCAGAAATAAGATGAATTGAAATGAATGGGAGAGCAGACAAATGGGACTCATACAAAGCAGATTTTAAAGCTCACTTCCTACAGGCTATAGGGATGGAATACTTTCAACAGAGCAATTCAAAGGGTGGCAGTTTTAATTGCAGCATCACCGTTTGCTTCATTGACTGACAGAAGCATTTAAACAGCTCTTTCAGGCAGCAAAAGCAACGCATGTCTGAGGAACACCTAGAACTTTACACACGATCTTCATATTTGCCTCTATAAAAAACATGTGCTAATTCCATATTCTAACTAATTGGGCAGGAAAGGTCACACTGTGGCACAGAGAACATCTTGTATTGAACTCAGCAGCTCTCATCTCTCACACAGGATGTGTCATTATATTGCTAGGAGGTCGCTCCTACAGACAAAGAATGCAAAGCTCCAGCCATAATTGCAGCACACTTAAAGGTCAGAGTCTTTGGGACTTTAAGACTGCACAGACATTATTAAAGTCAAATAATTTGGACAATGGTGGACAATAATCTCCGCAGAGGAAAAAAGTGAAATAAACAAGAATGGACACAGGGTGAGATGGCACTAAGAGGCTGGCTTTGCTGTGAGCACCTGCACACACCCAGCAGTGTTACCTGTCTGCAGCAGCCTTTAATGGCTGTTGAAATCAACGAAGGCTCATGTGAGCTCCTAAGAGCCTGTTACTTGAGGAAGCATTTATATCTAAGGCATTTGTTCAAACTGTAAAAGCACTGATATGTCTTTAACCTACATCTGCTTCAAAAAAGAAAAAAAAATGTTAAAAAAAAATTAGAAGACCATCCTATAGACAGGTCAACATACTGCATCAGAATATAGCAGATAGGGTGTTAAATACAGGCCATGGGATGCAGCTGAAGGGAAGGCTGTGACAACCTTAAAATACATCAGGAGATGTAGATTCAGATTCAGATCAGATTCAGGAGCACTCAGTGCCATTCGTACCTGTGGATGAAGTTTTTCTTCTCCAGGTACTCCATGGCTGAAGAGATCTGGGTTGCCATGTACAGCAGCACCACTGCATTGACCTCCTGCCGGTTGCACTCACGCAGATAATCCAACAGATTCCCATAAGTCATGAACTCTGTGATGATGTAGAAAGGAGGTTCCCGTGTGCACACCCCTATGGACCAAGATAAAGTTCACTATGAATATCTGAGAGTATCAATGACCCTTCAAGTTTGTCAGCTCAGGCAACTATATGTCTAATGGCTACTAATAGGGGGATTGTACAGAGAATGAGTTTTGCTTGGAACTGGTTAATAGAGGATTTTAATTTCCTGCTTCAGGCTCTGGCAACTTAAAACGTTAGGGAGACGAGATCATTAAAAATCATGTATTACCGGTACAAATTGTGAATTTTGCCAGACAATAAGTGCCTGTATTTAAAGCCTTGGTATGGTAAGCAGCTTATCTGCTCCTTAACATCCATATCACTGCACAAGGGTTTAGTTCAAATCCCCCTGCTTGGTATTTATCACTTACCTAATAATTGCACCAAGTTCGGATGCTTGATCTCCTTCATTACTGCAGCTTCTTTCAAGAACTCTTCCACCTCCATGGTATCCTCCTGCAGAACAATAACAAAGCTTTGGCAAGGACAGCATGCACAGAGGAGGACACAAAAAGAACTGCAAAGTGACAGCATCAGCCACAGTTCTTTCAAGGTAGTTTTTCCCTGTAGCCACATCACAATGCCAGGGAGTGAGGAACATTTTTTTTTGTTGGGGCTTTTTTTGTAGGATTTTTAAAAATACATTTTTATCATTCTTATTGTAAGGGAGCTTTTTGGGCAAGAAAATCCATATCCCTTTTGTGAAGGGCCTCTCACAGGACCACTCAGGAGTTGAAAAGGAAAAAGCTCAGCGCGCTTGTTCCTAACAAGAAAAAAAAACCCACACAAAATCAACAGCACGGAAAGAAATGAAACGAGAACAAAATCAAAAGGAAGGCTACACCCAAGCTAAGGTCTGAGCAACTGCTGAGATGCAAGCCCCCAATTTCAGTGGGCCTGAGCAAGGAAACCACACTGCAGAGAGAAGCACGGCCAACGGTTGGGGAATTGAGAGCCCGAGGTTTCACAGATTTCATCCTTCATCCCTGGCATTTAGAGCCTGACCCATGACGTAATGGGTCCGGGCAGATGTGTCACTGCCTATTTGTTGAGCACCATAAAGTTGCTTGGCACAACAGAAAGCTGAGGAAGATACTATCTTGCTCAGAAGATACATATTCTGAAGCAAATATACCCCCACGGCCCGAAGGTCATTTCAAAGTGGTGCAAAAAATACAGATCCATTCCTAAAGCAATGTTTCTTTCTAAATCCATATTTTTTTTCATTGGTGGATTAATGTTGACAGCCTACATGGACGAAGTGTTTTAAGGAAGGATTGGAAAGGATTTACTGCTGCTGGTGAGAATGATAACAGTGGGCTGCTGCTGTAAGATCCAGCCAGCACTCTGCTCTGCAGTTAGTGATGAGAGCCTCTTTCAAACAGCTTCAATCCATCATTCACTATTCGTTGCCAATTAGCTTGATTGGCAGCTGTGTTTTTCTGAACACGCTCTGTCAAAACGAATCGCCCAAAGGTCCTGGGGAACAGAACTGTAAACCATTTTCTTTGGCAAAGGAAACAGGGTTAATAATCCAGGTTGCAAAACGACCCTAAACACGCACTTATGTATGCTATGCAGGCTGCACAAGGCTGTTCCTCTGCATTGCTGCTCCGTGGTTTTAAATCTATTGCCTCTCACTGACCAAATTAATAGGAAGGATGCATGCAGAGAATTACAGTAACAATGATTTCCCTGAAAATCTGATGGCAGAATTTTACCAGTTTCCATCTTCCGCTGTACAAAACCACAGAATAAATAAAACAGTTCCAGCAACACCATATTTTCCCAGCAAAACAGGACAATGCCTCAACCTGAACTTGCACAAAGCTCACTAAGGGACAGCTCCATGCTGCCCCATCTGCTGGGGTAAAAAATAAACATTAAATAAAGCTGGGCAGCTCCCAACAGCTCATCCACTGAACAGCCTTCCCAGGGAACTGAGTTTGGGGTACAGGCACAGCAGGCTGCAGAACGAGCACAGGCACTGAGGCAGGGCACGATGCTCCAGCCCAGTCCCTGCAGCCCTCCTGCCTCTTTCCAACAGGATCAGGAGCAAAAAAGCAAACACAGAGCATGCCATGTCATGGCCACAGACCCTCTGAAATCCTGCTGTGTCCAGTGCAGCTCGCTGGGTTTCGAATGGAACATTCCAATGGGAACCATCTACATCCCAACATGTTGCCCAGCACTTGCCAGTTACACGAGGCTGAAAAAACAGCGTGTGCTGCATTTGTCTTCTCGTGTGATCTCTGTGCTGGCTGTAACACAACAGAAAACTGAACAACAAATGGGTGCTGCTGAGCACTGCTCCACAACACGAACTGCGTGGATTTTCGGTGCCTTCAACCCTGCCTCTCCTCCATCCTTCTTCTGGAGTAGACAGGGAAGGAACAAGGAGAACCGTACAAAGCTGTGAAAAACATTCTCTGGCAGAAAATGAAGCGAGTCACTTGAAGCTGCTGAGGGCTTGTTTTCCCATGTAGAACTGGAATATAAATGCCATTTTTAAATATTTCCCAAAACTTTGAAGGGAGCTGTAACCCCACCTGTCAAGCACTAGACTGATGGATTTAAAGAAGGTGGAGTATAAATTTGCTTTTAAGGACGGTTTTAGTGTGCATAATTGCAGACTGAAGTGTTTCTTAACTCTCTTTTTGGTTCTTCCTGCATTCCCCAGTGGCACACACTGTTCCATATTACATTATGAACCACTTTCAGTCATGTTTCATTAAATATTTATTTGATGTATTCGAAACAGTCATGGTCTGTATTGAGGTTTCTCCAACGCACAAACAGAGATTCGATGGCACAAGGCGTCATTTGCCTTTCTTGATGGATTTTAGGGACATGGTACAAGAACGCAACAACGGTACTCTGGTACAGATGAGGGACAGGAGACATCAGGGATCCTCGTGTCACAGCCAGAAAGCAGAAAGAAGATGCTGCAGCAAACTGAACGTTTCGAGAAGCAATTTGTCTCTCTCATCTATGGTGTTGGACTCTTTGCTCGCAGCCCGGTCCCACTGCACGGTGCTCTGAGCAGCCCCGCAGTCCCCGTGCGGTGGCCCTAACACTAGGTGTCACCCGCTGCCTGTGTAAGCTGCTGCTTCTGCTCTTCTCCACTGGGGAGCCCGAACGGGAATCTCCACCACACACAAAAGGCCAAAATGGAAATACTTTCTGCGGCCGTAGCAACCCAGAAATACTGAGGTTGCTGCTGTTCAGACGGTAAGGCTGAAATATTTTTCCCAAATCCGGGCAGTTTTCTCCCCCTGACACTATACATCTATACAGCTCTCTCCACTTCAAAAGTTCCATTGCAAAAAAAAAAAAAACAAAACAAAAAAAAAACCAAGAAGAAACAAACAAAAAGCCTCTTCTGTTTGTTTCTGCAAGACCAAACCACATCTCCATGCGAGGAGAGAAAACATGGTGTCAAGTTAGCTTAAATCTCCTATTAAGCAATCAAATGCAATGCGTGTGGATGGTGCCAGAAGATCTCAAGACACATTTATAAACATAAATGAATTAAGCAATGACCTTCTGAACTCAGAGCATTATTTGCATTTCAAGAGGCAAGGAGACCAAGACGCAGAAATAAGGGAGCAGAGCCAGAAGCAGAACTGATTATCCAGTCCCTCATTAAGCCCTCTTACGAATTTTAATATACTTTAGCTTGGATGCACTTTTTCCTCCTCTTGTATCTTCTGATAATAAACAGCTGTGAACAATTGCTTAAGACTACTGGGTACACAAGGAGCTCCTCTTTTGGGAAAGAAGCCACATGAGACAAACAATCAAAGCATTAAGAGTTTCCCTGAAATACAGGCTTTGAATTTTATGTTGGCTGAGTCACAGTCCACAACCTTCCTTAATACATCAGCTTGTGTTAGCATGTTCACCTATGACCAGCACACCTTTGCCACCTCCTGAATGCAAGGGATGCCACAGCAGTACTTACTTCTCTAAGATCTCACCTGTTCTAAAGCAAGAATTGCACTGTTAACATCCTCCTTTGCTTAGTTTACACTGAGAATCATAAACTCATCAAGTTATCTATTATTCTAGGCCAAAGTACAGAAAGGCACAGCCATCACCAACCCCAAATTGTCACATGGGGCTGGAGGAAGTCAGCCAGCTTGAACTCACTTCCTGCTGAAAAGGAGACAAACGAGACTGCTCAGAGATGCGGGTCCTACCTTTAGGGTCTTCACAGCCACTGTGAGGCTGTACTTCTTCCAGACTCCTTCATACACCTCTCCATACTGCCCGCCGCCCAGCTTGTGCTTCATAGTGATGTCAGTTCTCTCTATCTCCCACTTGTCATAGTTTGGAGACACCCCGTAAATAGTGGGCTTGTTGCGTTTGGGCGCCGGGTAGTGCAAAGTGGTGATGAGCCCATCTGCTACCGTTGAATGATGATGGACCAACTCTGCCAAGGTGTTGAAGCGGCTCTCTGAAGAGACGTACAGCTAAGGGAGCAAGGAGAATAGAAAGCTCAGTCACGTCACTCACACTGGAGCATTCACATGCAGAAACTACGTTGTGAAGTCACGACAGAGAAGCACCGTATCACTTCTACTTGAACTGCAACACCACGAGCTCTGCAGAAGCCCAGAGCTGAGAAAGGTGAACATTTGCATGGGAAATGCACAGATTCTGAAGAAAATACACACGCTTTGCTGAAATAGCATGGAAGGAATGACTGCAAATAGCACTACACTGGCATGCTGTTGCTTGAAATGGTTTTCTGGTCTGGTCAGTGAGGGTTGTGGAATATTTCTGAACAGCAGGGATTTCCTACCTCTGCGTCTTGATCACATTCTTATTATTTCAATTGTGACATTTTACCTTCCTAACTTTATGAAGTTTCAATAACAAACTGGTAGCTTCCCTGCTATTGCCCTAAATAAGATAGCTGGCCTGCTGCATTCTTGTGATGGGCACAGATCAGTAACAGAAATAGAATTATTACTGAGTGGGAATCTGTCGAGACACATGGTAACCCATGTCTGTTACCTTTTAACATCCAAAAATAAGCTCCATTTTGAGCCTAAAAGCTTATGGAAGGCAATGGACAAGTGATTCCCTGCTACAATTTAGTACTTCCAATTTCACACTCAAGATCAATCTTCTGCTACAGAAGGTGACAAAAGCCACAAATACAGTAAGAACAAAGTGGTGCTGGTAGCACTTGATGGAGAGGGAGAAACCTTCTGACACACTGGATATGCACTCAACAGTTCAGTCTGTGCATGTGCAGCATCCATCTGTCTCATTTTGCAAAGCAGGGAAGCTGACAGGGATGCCAATCATTCCCAAATCCCAGACCTGCAGCCAAGCACTACTTCCTCCACCCAGACAGAATGCTTGGATGGAAAAAGAAAACACATCTGTGAAGTTCCAGCAATAAGTGAACATGTCTAACAGAAAATGGAGATGCATTTGCAGAGAGGAAAAAAACGTTTGCAGGGAAGGAAGAAAAAAGGTCAAACTTGAGGAGTCTTTGAACTGGAGACTGGCAGATTCTGTATAGATGCTCCTTTGCAAGCATCTATTTACTATAAAAATGAGAATAAGAGGCACTGGAGAAGAACAAATGTTCTGAAGGTTACATGAGCACTAGGAATAAATAAAGAAAATGAAAAGGTGAGTACAAATAGCAGCTGCATCACCTACAGCAGTGAGAGTGACAGAAGAGGCCTCTCAGCACCCTGCTTCCCCAGCTCCCTACTTCTGTTTCTGAAAATCAGGCAAAGGCTTAAGGATGGATGGTGACAGAATTGGCAGCAACTGCTAAGTTATACATGTCATGGACATTACAAAAAGAACTGCAAAAGGTAAAATGCTCGGCTCAGACACATATAATCCCAAAAAGACAAAATACAGGAGAGCACAACCCACAGATTGGTTAGTGACTACTACAAGCTGTAGGGGCAACAGAGCAATGCCATCTATAAGTTTTCTGGAACATGAGCATTATCCAACACAGGCAGCTACACTGAGAAGCCAGCCTTTCTACTGCAGAGGAATCACAACCCCCATTATAATGGCAACAGCACCCAGGCTCCAGGGAGTGGGAGAAGATGCACAGTGGCCAACATTCCTGTAAATTACTTGAACAAAACAATTACCTGCTTGAACCTGAACAATTAACTACTCCAATGATAACATATTTACTCTCCTTTTGCTACATTTGCTGATGGCAAAGCTCCTATGGAAGCTCTGGAAAACAGAGGCACTCTCCTGGGGAGCAAGAGCTCAGTTCCTAACCAAACTGAGTCAAATATTTTTTTGGTGAAGTAACTGGAACAAACCTCAACACCTGTCGTGGCCAGGGGTGAAATCACCTTAAAAACAGATGTTCTGAGAACAGAAGGGTGCCAACTTAAGAGAGACTCTTACAGCTGCATGGCAAGAAGCAAACAGTTCTTCAGACCACCGAGTGTTTGCCAGCACAACCAGAATGTAAATCAATGTCAATTTGGGAAGCACTTGCAGGGTGAGCAGTAGTACGAGCTGTTCCTGTGTTACACCGAGGACTAAAATGTGTAAAATCTGTCCAAAAGTGAGGATAAATGTGTAAAATCGTGCTGAACACTTGGACCACCTGGAATTATTAGGGAACCACGGAGAAGGAAGCTGTCCTTGCTTTTATGATGCCTGCATCTCACAATCTCAAAATCTCACAGAAATGAGAAATATTTCTATTTTTGTGACAGATTATGTGATCCTATGAGAAGGAAGTTAAATTGATGGCCAAAGGTTTCACAGCAAACCTGTAACAGGTTGGGGAACAGAACTCAGGATCACCATGCCCAGGCCATGGGACAGCACTTCATGCCTTCACACACACAAATTTAAAAGAAAAAAAAAACACAAAATCAAACCACCCATCCACCACACATGCTCATTTTTGAAGGAATTTTTCTGCCCCCCTCTCAGTGACCAGCTCATAGCACTGACACCTGAAGTCAGTTTATCCACAGCTTCTCCCATCAGACCTTGTTCCTTCTGACTGGAGGCAGGGATGCTGATCCATGTGAGCCACATCCTTAACCCGAAGGGATTCCCACCCTGCCATCAGCCAACAACCTACACAACAAAATTGATTGAGATTCATGGTAAAGGAGCTAACCTGCATCCAGTTAAGCCACTGGAAGCTCCGAGAGAAGCAAGACACATCCTGTGCCCCTAACACTGAGGACAGCAGGATTTCACAAACTGGCTGGGCAATGCTGTTTGCTCAGTTTGGTTACTCAATAGAAGGCTTTTACTACCAAGTCAGGAAAACCAAGGGCTCTGCTCCACGGAAGTGGTTTACCAAATGACTAGCTGCACCATGCCAGCCAAATCAAAAAGGTCACTTTGAGTGTCTCCTTTAGGAAAAAAAAAAAAACAAAAACATTAAGAGGTGGTCTGGAAGAATATGTCCCATTAAAATGGGAAATAAAAAAAAAAAAGTTCCCTGAGGAACTGATGCTGAATCTCAGTGTATTCAGCACTATCAATGCTAAAGCTAAGAAGTACACATCTCCCATCTTTCCCTGTTTCTTTTTCTTACAGCAGAAAGACAGACAGCACAGGGCTCTGCGATGCATGGCACACCATGCCAAGCAGCAGTTGTTCTGCACATTTCTGTAAAAGCTCTTTGCTCTCCCAGTTGCAGGACACAATCCACCAAAGCCATTCACCCTTCCTGCAGCACTTGCTGACACTAAACTCCTCAGACAGGCTGACTAACGATACAGCAGGCTGTGGCAGCCCCAGGTGCCCAGGGAGCTGGAGGTAGCAGCTTTCCTTCTGCAGAGCCACGCAGTGCTGCAACACGGGTAATGGAGCATGACAGCAGCAGCTCTGAGATCCAACAGCCTCCATTTCACAAGGGGAAAGCAGAGATATTGGCTGTCTGTATTCCTCACCCCTAAACTCTGGCAGGTGAAAGGAAATGCAAGGTGCTCCCAGCCCAGTGCAGGCTGGAGGTGGGCCACAGAGACAGCATGCTGCTGCCCAGTTTGTTAACACAAATGGAAACAAATGAGACTTAACATGCCAGGCTGCTAATTGCAGCATGGCACAACATAATTCCCTTCCCTCGGCACACGGCCACCTCCTCCCAAAGCCCAGCACTCACTCACTGCTGCTCCTCTATTTTGCATTTCCAACCACCACCGACTGCAGGTCTGTTTTAGTGCATTGTGCTGACCTGCACATTTTATCAAAAAAACAACAATTCAAGCAACTTTGTGGGAAATGAACAGTTGACCTGGCCAATACAGAGCTGAACAAATTATTGCTTTGGGGGGATAAAAACAGCTCTGCTGGGATGAAAGCCTTCATATGCCAAAACCTCCTGCAGTTAAAATGAAGAACGTGCTATGGCATGAGGGACACATGCTTATTTACACTGACTGAGGGAGGCCGGGGTTCAAAATGCTCACATGTGCACAGTGCTCATCTGCCAGCATCAGTGTGAGTCAGAGGGAAATCAACTACAGGGACAGGAGGAGGAAGGATACTGCAGGTCACCATGCACACCCCTGAGTGTGCAGCATGCCAGCAACTCACAGTGCTGATTTTGATCACAGAGTGTCTACAAAGGAGGAAAAAGGAAGAACCAAAGCACTGTAATTTGGATATATACCACTTCCAATAATTATCAACTACTAGATGCTGGCAAGAAGAGCCTCAGCAGCCATGCTGCAGATCCATGCTGCAACTTCTGCAGAGGATCTGAAGACATACTGCTCACAATAGATTCATTAAAAACAAGAATTTCTGAAACCCAATGCCAGCCAAAATGTTTCCATGAAATTCCAACAAAATCTGTGGAAAATCTCATTCTTATGTTAACATTTCTCTGCAGCATCCACGAAACACAGCACTGCTGGGGCACATAAAGATAGAAAAGAAAGAAGATGACACTGGAAAAGGGTCCATACAAATTAGAAGGTGCCTATCCATTTTCAGTGGTCACATGGAAATACTGTGGAGAAATTAAAATAGTTTAAAATGAGGCTGAATAGTTCAAAAGGTATTCTGTTCCTAAACTTACAGGGCTATTAGCAACAGGCACAGACTTCTCTGATTTGGCACTCCTAGAGGTTCTTTTGAACATATGTAATGAAAATCCATTGCTAGATAACATCTTATTGATGATATCTACTGCATTCAGCTCTGATGTAGCTCTAGGATGGCGGTTTGCTACTGAGCTGTGCTATATCTCAGCAGCTGGCTAAAGGAATAAGCGTGTTTCATCACAGCCTGGTCAGAAGCTTACAGTTCATTATAACTACGGATGCTGAACACTATGATCAGGGCTCAGAATTGCACGTTTCAATTATCACTTCTTGACCTTGACCAGTCAGTGCACAAAGCACTCCAACAAGGTTTTCGTTGGCAGCACAGACAGCTTGCAGCCTACCTTCCCATCGGACGCAGTGTTTATTCTGTAGTGGTACACCCTTCCTTCGTAGCGCAGTGAAATTGATCTCTGTCCTGGACTGCTCTCACTCTCTCGCACGAGAAAGCTGCCATTGATGCCACTGCTCAGGAGGTACTCAGCAGCATTACGTGACACTGGTCCATGGTACCAGGAATGTTTCTCCAAACTATTCACTGGGGTGATGTAGTTGCTGGGTACCCAGCCTTGTCCATTCTTCGTTTGAGCCTCACACCATTCACCATTATGATTGTAGCCCAGGACACGAAGCTTTTCACCTAAGCACAACCAGAGAACATATTTAGACACAGCAAATCTAGGAGCAGAGTAAAAAGATGGATTATTTCTAGCTTACTGATTATTAGAATGGGTATCTGATTGAGCAGGGACCATGCACATTTCTTTAACCTTAAGTGGACCACTGAAGCCAAATAAAATGACATGCATGCTCCAAGGGTCTGTGAAATTGTCATGCAGCTCTGATGCTGTATGAGCTTAAAAAAAGATTCCAACAAATTTTATTTGAGCTGAGTTGGCTTGATGGGGCTAGACCAGGAGTGGATAAATAGCAAAAAATCTATTCTGATTAGCAAGCAAGCAGACTTGAAGTGCACATAAGGAATGAAAGGATCAAGTAAGAAAACACTGTATCTGCACAGTCATTTTTCATAGGAGGACTGCATTCTGGAGAACAATAAGAATGACAAAGACCTGCATCTGAAGTCAGCCTAGTTCAATTTCTCAGCTAAAATTCTTGTTCTTAGTGGAGACCTTCTTCTGACACAGTCTTGTCCAACGCAAAAACCTCAAATAGTTTTAACCTTTTAAAAGGTTATGACTTCAAGAAATATTTGTATTTGTTTAAGAAGAATTCCCACAGTAAAAAAATTCCATAGTGTTTAGCGTATAACTCAGTTGTTCCACTGTGGCTTTTCTTTCTGTGCTTCTCACTGATTCCTGATACATCCTGCACATTTCTCTTACCTTTAGTTATGCTGAGAGTGTTGTCCCCACTCGCCACAAAATCATACAGTGCAACAAAGAGGTGGGGGTCATTTTCACTGGGACAGGACAGGAGGTTCTCCTTGGAGTTCCAGCGAGCGGCTTCACTCAGCCCCTGGGGCTCAAAATCTGACACGACTGGCCTCTGGAGGGCTTCTGCAGGAAGAAAGAGGAGAAAAGCAGGTTCATTTTTGCTGATAAAAGCCACCTGCTTAGCCCACGTGCTACAATTTTTCTAATTTTCTCAACATCCGCGTTCCTCACGCATGGACCATTCCTGACAGCAGACCTCCTGCCACATGCACACAATGCTGTGGCTGCAGAGCCCCTTCACAACACGCGAGCTGCCTGCCCTGGCCATGGAGCAGAAGAAAACCCTCTGCTTGCAGGCAGTGCTGCTCACGTCAGCTGCTGGCTCTCCGTAAATCCTTCAGTCTTGCCTAAGTGCTGCAATGGTTAGACTTGAAAGAAGCAAAGACCTCTAAAAGGTAAATCCCTTAACTACCCTATAAATGAAATCACCAGAACTTGAAGCATTGAAAGTCAGGCAGGATGAGATTTATAAGATGTGGTGTATACAGAGTTAGACATATATTTTTGTAGCCTATACTATTTTTAATCATCTCTCCTCTTTTTTTGAGTAAAAGCTGGGCCATTTCTGTTACCTCTCTGCCACCTGCCGCTCTCAGAAGGAGTACACAGTGAGAGCTTATGCTGCACCATGCACTTTGTAGGAGTCCTAGAGGCTTTGAGAAAAAACAGATTCCCAAAAACTGAGCTTCAAATGTGCATAGTGAGGCACATCAGTCAATATTAGGCATATCCAAGTAGGCTGGAGAATTCAGTTCCACTGCTTCCTGCCAGTTCTTCCCTCCAAACCATGGGGAAGGCTGTTGGGATGTCACCAGGAGATTGGGGCTGCTGGGGGCAGTGCCTCTCGTGCCAATGCGTCAGCCCAGGAGTGACACAACAACGCACATCCATGCTTTGGGGATGGGGCTGTCAGGAGATCCCCTTTCAGAAAACAAAGCTATCAGCACTTTACTACACAAACGTAGCTGGCAGACGGCTGTGAGCAGCAGTGCTGCCCAGCACAGCACAGAGCCCTGCGCCTCGTGGGCTGGCCGTAACCTCGGCAAGGAAGGAAAACGCCTGCCCCACGGGGCCTGATTCAACAGGAAGGCCGGAAATCCAAGGCGGGCTCCCCTCCAGCCTCCAGCACAGCCAGGCCCATGCACGGCCCGGAGCGGGATGAGGGGGGAAAAGCCTGATGGGCTGTGACAACACGTGCTGCTAATGGTCTGGACTCCTGGAGGAGGCTATTAGCAGATTCAGGACACAAATCCAAGATGCAAAAGAACCAGAGAGGACGGGTCTGTCTGGGTTCCCTGTGCAGCCAGCTGTCGGCAGCATTCATCTCTCTTTGGTAAATCTGCCCAGACGTGATCATGTTTTGGAGCAGCAAACAGTGCAGCTCATTCACACTGCTGCTCAGAGAGCTGGTGGTGCCCCAGCCATGCAGACACCCGAGGTCAGGGGATGGCTCCGAGCACCTATGGAGCTGTGCTGTCCCTGTCCGTTGCAGGGAGTGGGACATGGTGGCCTTTAAGGGTCTCTTCTGACTCAAACAGTTCTGTGATTCTATGACGAGAGTCTTTTCCAACACACCATAGCTCCTCCACCTCTTACACTGGTCTTATCTACAGCTTCACAGCACCACTGAGCCCCTCGATAGGCCAGATGCCTCTGGATGAGTCAGCCCAGCTGCTGTGCCACAGGACAGTGTCCTCACTGGGTGATGGGGCAGGAGGCGAGTCCAGCTCCATTGGTGAGCTCCACTGGTTATCACCAAGCTGAGATTCCTCCAGGCAGCCACAAAGCTTGCTGCTGCATCTCTGCAAAACCACAGCTTCTTGATTCCATTGCACCGTGCTCAGGTGGCACCTGGATGCCTGGGAGGAGTCCCAGGGCAGCAGTGTAATTCAGCTCTGCACTCGCAACAGCTAAACACAGCTCTCCAACAGTAGACTAGGAAATGAGAGAGCTTTTATTTTGAGGCATCAGCCATATGGATGTCTTTTTTTTCCCCCCAAATTAAGTTTGTACCAGGAGATATTTATGTTTGTACACCAAAAGATTTCATAAGCATAGCTATCCCCTGCTAATTACTGTTTATGCGAAGCCATGAATCACTGCTAGGGACTGTGTAAGAAGTTCTCTGATGTGAACAGTGCTGGTCCAGACCAACACAAGCAAATTCCCTTAAAAATGTAAGTGAAGGGTTGGAAAAGAGGCAGAAGCACAGCATGACAAACAGCTCCTCCACAGCCGTTGCAGGGCAGTCCTGGGGGGAAGGAGGAGACCTCCAGTCTCCCTGCAAAACAAACATCCTGTGCTCTTACAAACTGTGCTGGCATTTTTTCCACAAGGTTTCCAAAGCAAGGGACAACAGAATACACTCAGTAATCTCTTTGGAGTCGAAGCACATGCTGTCTAAAGCTTTTCCTCTCCTTACCTTCCTCCTTCCTTCCTTTTCCCCTAAAAGAAATTAGGATAAGGGGCAGAATCACTGCAGATTTAATGCACTCCCAAAGCTCCCAACCCTGTGCCTCTCTGTCCCACTGATTTCCTTACTGGTCACTGACAGATTCCCTATCCCTGATGGAACAATATTATCTTCAAGGAGAAAGGACCAGCATCCACAGACAGCATCTGGTTCCTGCTTCACTGCCCATGCACAAAGAGGGCCCACAGTCAAACGCTTTGCCTTATCAAATGCTAAGTACCCTCAATGGCACGGCTTCTCCCACTCCCACTGAGAGATCATTCCATTATCTTCCATCCTTTTTTAATTTCTTTTTGGAGAGTTCGCTCTTCTGTGAGCCTGCAGGTTCCACTACAGCTCATTCATTGGGTATTTTCCATTTGTAATCCTTTAACAACACAGTAAATACCATCTTCCACCAGAGAGATGTGGATGTACAGAGAGGCATAGTGGATGTAGCAGAAATTCAGATTTTATTTCTAAGTCTGCTACTAAACTGCTGCCTAATCTTAGATTAAAATATCTGAGAGAAGGGGAAAGAGTAGCTAGATCCAACTGAATTATAAATGACACCTCTGTATTTCTGAAAACTTCAGAAGTGAAGCTTTTGGTTTGGTTTCTTTACAGAGCAGAAGTGTGAGGTTTGCCCATTTCAGAGCCCTGGGGAGGGACAGCACTGAACAAGAACCACAGAGGTTTGCAGCTGTAGTGCCCCATTTTCTTTAGCAGCTCGGGACTGAGAAAGGAAGATGAACATGGATCTGTGATGATCAGTTTTAGGTCTGAAGACAGCTCTAGTTGTATGAAATGATAATACTTTTCTCACCACAATCCATGGGAAACGGTAACGAGCATCATCAGCCAGTTTTTTTTAATAAGGATGGGACAGGCAAGAATCACTGCAGCAAGCACACAACTAGCAAGCCACTACAGAGCCAGAACACTTATTTAAAAGCAAAAACTCTACTGAGAGATGGCAGATGTGAGGCCAAGAGGTGAGGAGCAGAAAACAAAAGGAGGACACAAACAGAAGGCTCTTCCCTGGGAGGCCATGGCTGTGGGCTTATCCTCCCCGAGCTCCTCTGCTCTGACTGTAACTGAAGAAACAAAAAAGATATATGGGCAATCTGACAACATGGCAGAAAATGCTTCAGTTTGAAAACAAAGGGCTTGAGTAGTGCCTCTACACCAGTTTTCAGCTTCAGAGGGGATGCTGACAGGTTTTAAACAAGGTTTCTGCTTTTCAGTGGTAGAGCAAGCCCAAAAAGGCAGCGAGACTATTTCAGCCCCTATTTGGGACATGGACACGTTCTGCTTTCCAGATCAGATTGGCAGCAGTACTTGCTGTGCCTCGTCCCTTCTACTCTTTACCCTTTCTTGGTGTGAAGTGAGGGTGGAATTATTCAGTTTGGCACAGGCAAAAAGGAGGAAGCAGATGACAGAAGTTCAGATATCTCACATTTAAAAATAATATTTACTAGGGGGAATAAAACTGAGAGCAAAAAATGGCCAGCTTAAAACACGAGCGTGGAAGCTCAGTAATCACACAACCGGTTAAAACATATTTTTGATCACGTTAAAACAATCTTCAAGCTCTCAGTTCAGCCAAATGCTAACACACAGCATGCAGGGCGGTCTGCCCACACCCTGCCATGGCACACAGAGACACTGAGGCTGGGAAAGCCCTATCACAACCCCAGCCCAACCCACCATGCCCACTGACACATCCCTCAGTGCCACATCCCCATGGGTCTGACACACCTCCAGGGACAGTGACCCCACGGGCAGCTGTGCCAGGCCTAGCACCGAATTATTCCTCCTGACACAGCAGCGAGGGGATGACACAAAGCATCCTCCTTCCTGCAGGTTAATAGAGAGCATAAAGTTCTGAGAACCACCACAGAAAGAAACGTTTCAGATTGCTTGGCCAACACACAGGTTGGTGCACCTACACACTGAGACTGGAGCAACCTCACGGTGTTTTGAGCCTCTTCTGCAGACCCCAATCTCAAAACAACGCCCTCGAGAAGTTCATTTAATAATTCTACAAGCTTGATTTTCTGAGCCTCGTGCTAGCCATCACACACTGTCACATTGCTATTTTATGAAGCATAAAAAACAAAAGAAGAGACTGAATTAGGTAACATTCCATCTATCCTCCTGGCTGCAACCAGTTTGCCACATAATCAATGGTCCATTCAACCTCTAAGCAGCTCTCTCTGCAATTTCCTATTCTACTAAAGCAACTCAGCTTTCCTCTCATGCCTACAGCAGCTTCCCATACAACAAAGACAAGAGCAGAGTTAAACCCTCCAGTGATATCACCATAATCTCCATAATCCTTCCAGAAGCTCCAGTGAGACAGGCAGGGAACAGCCTGGCCATGTCACACAGCTCCCAAGGATGCGTCTGGTGGCCTCAGCACAAGCCTATCTGCTCCTGAGGATCTGCCAGATTGCCCTGCAAGCGTTAGTGTGTTTCCACCCAAATGAGCCCCACCTGTAGGAACCTGTTATCTGAAGCATATTGCAGGCAGATGGCTTTCACTTGTGCCCTCACACTGGGCAATGGCACAAGCTCCTACTGCTCTTCTACTCAGCCCTCTCAGCAAGGCTCTCAACCTCACCACAACCTGAATACAAAAGCTGTGTGGGGCCCCTTCAGCTGTAGAAAGGAATAACAGAAAGCACTCCTTTGTTTTCCCTTCACCTCTTGCTTTGCTTTCCAAGAAGTCCACCATCAGAGCATCGCAGTGGGTCCTGCTCTATCTGTGCCCTAACAGCTGTCACAGCAGCAGGGAAATTGCATTAAGATCTCAGTTGTGGAGCTTTAACACCCGTGGGTGCTGCCTGCAGTTCTGCCCCACGCTGAGCTGAGAGAAGAGGCCGAGCTGCTTTGACAGAAGTGTGTTTTAAAGTTCTTCCAGTGCTCATTTCCCATCCCTAAATAAAAAATATATACACAGCCATGGTCTCAGAGAAGCTGAAGGTGAAAATACCACAGTATTTACTGTGCCTGATCGTGTTGTTAACTCGATACTGCCTACACGGAGCAAACCAAACTGCGTTCTAATCCTATTATGCAACTGCATTGCAAAGTGGGGAGGGGGAGTGGCTGTAGCACATACAAAAGAGAAACGTTGGACAAACAGCCTGGGTAACACCCCATCATATCAGCTCCAGCCCTGAGCCCAGGGGACACCAGGACCAGCACCACAGCACCAAAGTGCCACAAACAGAGGTTTGGTGCACCTAAAAGCTCACCGAACCATTTGGAAAGATCAACGCTGTTCACAAATCCGCCCATCACTACGTCTGTGAAACTTTTCAAAAGGATTGTAAAAGATAAGAGAACCGACCAAAAAAAGCCCCTTGACAACCGAAAGTTATTCAGAGCCACTGCAGGCATCCCACGGGCACAGCCTCCTGCTACGAGATGCCTTCGGCTCGGTCTGCCGTGAGCAGCCATTTGTAGTTTTTGAGATTCCTGAACTATGAATTTGAGGAACATTTCTCCGCTGAATATTCGAGAGTTGAGCAAGAGCCGCCGGCGATAGGCTGCGCGCGGTCAGGTGGCTGCATTTCTTCCCTCTGATTTGATGAGTTAGCAAAGTACTCCTGGCACGCAGCTTATTTTTACCAAAGTTCCATCCAGCGACACAAAAGAAGCCGAGGAATGCATGGGCCCAACACAGCACAGCGGGCTGTGGCCTCCTGAGGCCCAGCCAAAGCCCTGGCAGTGCACGGAGCAAGGCCACGGCGGAGGGGACGCAGCTCCGGGGTCGTGCTGTGCCCAATGGGACCAGGCTGGGCTCCCCTGCACATCGCCTCCACCCCAGGCACCCAGCTTCAGCCCACCCCGAGTGTTAATTCACGTTTCAATTCCTATAGTCACAGGGGTGACTCAAATTCACTTTTTCAAAGCAATCACCCAAGTAAATTCAGCTGTATGGCCGCCTGGCAAATGCCAGCAGAGAGGGACAGCCAAAACGAACCAAGAGACCGCGAGTAACGCACATGGAAAGTACTTTGCTGTATTCGGCAAGTTGATTTTCATCTAGATTCTCCTCCTTAGCCCACAGTAACTTTATTCCTTTCACTCCCAAAGGAAGGGAGATCCTTCTCCGGGCACAACCAAAGCCCAGGCCCATGGAGACGGCTTTGTTTGTTGGATCGGCCATGGGATCACTTGACATTTCACAACCATAAATGGTAGAGCCAGGCTCCCTTTGTATGCTGCGCTTAATGAAAATCACCTGGTCCCGAAGTCATGCACACACAACCCCGCGGCTCCTGGGATGGCAGTGGGCTCCCAGCTCCCCAAAAAGCCTCCCCGTATCCCTAGAAAGTGTCCCTGTGCCCCCCGAAGGGCTTCCCCACATCCCCAAAAGGGCCTCCCCACGTCCCCAAAGGGGCCTCCCATCCCGCTCACCTTCCAAGTAGCAGCTGGAGGAAGAAGAGAGCCCCTTCTTTGACTTGCAGCCCACCAATTTCAAGCAAATCTCCAACATTTTCATTTGTTAGAGTTTGGCCTCAGCTGTACGGTCTCCTTTCTTCCTTTCAGCTCCTCTCGCTCAAAGTTACCCGGTAGAAATGCTCCCCGCACTACTTAAAAGGGCAAACCCGAGAGGCGCAGAGCCCACGGGGCCCGGCTGCGCCCCGGCCCGGACAGGACTGCAGCCATCCCCCTGCAGCAGGAGGGCACGGCGCTGGGTGCTGAGCGCTGCCAACAAAGGGCCCCCTTCAGCCTCCGCGCCTCAGCTCCGAGCCGGCCTCCTGACGGCAGGCAGCAAGCTACGCCCTCGCTCCTTAACCCTGCTGCTGCCGGCTGGGGAGGCACGCACGTTCAGCATCTGGATGTTCCGTATCGGCATGTATTCCACATAGGTAGCTGCTGATAAAGGAGACTGGAGTGGTTGTGCATACAGCTGTGGGGTTTTTTTGTTGCTGTAAGATGCCCGTTCACTTCCCAAAGCTTGTGCTGCTCAGAGCACGAGGTGCCCCCGGAGCAGAAAGGCCAAGAAGGCCCACGCGAGGTTACTGGCTGCCTCCTGCTCTTCTGCCTTCCAGCACCTGAGGACCCTGCCATTGAGATAGCCAACTTCCATCATTCCGCAGATGACACTGATTCAGTCTTCTGATCCACGGGGCATATGCTTGGCAAACAGCTTAGAAAGAAGTGGTCAGTCCTCAGCCCATGCGGAACTGCAGTAACAGCATTTGCTTAAATAACAATAGCCACACCACTTCTAGCAGAGAAGTATTTATGGAAAGGCCAGCACGGTGTTTGAAGTGTTTTCCTCCTTCTTCTCAAAGATAACATGGACATTCCCATCTGACAAAGCAGGGAAGAGAGAATCTCAGCTTCCTGGAATTCAGACAACCATGGGAAGAGTCATGGTGCAGCTGGTGCTCCACCTGGCTGCATGTACACTGGGGACCATGATGCCGTCCCCAGGCCTTCTCTTCCTCTCTCCACTTCTAGAGGAGGGTTTCCATCCCATGAAAGCAAAAGAGGCTCACAGGAAACTGACGACCCCCCCATTTGCTCCCTGCCCACCCAGCTTCAGAAGGCACTGAGACAAAAAGCCAGTGCAGAACTGGGAGAAATAAAAGAGGAGCTAAAAGCTGAGTTGGCCATCCTGTGCTGAGGCCCATGTCATGCTCAGGGAACCAGGGTGAAGCCACATTTGAAGAGCAGACCCGGTATCATGCACGCAATGTCTGCGTGTGACGAGCATCCTCCTCCTGCCTCCAGTTCAGCCGCAGCTGTAGGAGCGTGGAATTCCCATAAAATTCCCCTGGAAGTATACAGAGGCAGCAGCGCCCAGCCAACACAATTAGGATTCATACATCAGCGCCGGCAGGATGAAGGCGGATCACTCTCCTGGTGAACTCCTGGGGTTGGTATTCCAGAAGAAGAATGCCTCGTTTCAAATTAAATTAACCCACTTGCAAAAGAACCTCGCTATTGGAGCAACGTTTCCACTCAGAGAGCTGAGCACAAAGAGCTATCCTGGGATAATTTCCTCTGTAGATAAACCCTAAAATTAATTCCCTTTATTGTTCCACACAGACAAGCTTGTGTGGTCCCTCTGCTATAAACTTCATCCCTCTGCACTTCCTCATTTGTGTCACAGCAAGCCAGACCATAAATGCTTCAGAGCAAGCGCTCTCTGCACTTACTGCATGCCATGAAATTAGCTGGCGATACAGAAATAAAAGCCACATTGGCAGTGTCACACAAACGCTGCTACTCTTAGGGCTGACATCTATTAATCCTTCTTATGTTTGTTGCATATGCATCTTAGAGTAAAATCTGTCCTGAAAAGCATGCAGACTTTTGGACTATGGAGTGACTGATGCAATCTTCAACTCAGTCCCTCTGCTGCAGCATGGCAGGACAGTTTTGCTTTGCCATACAGAGCGTGATGCCTTCCCTCTCCTTTCCTTTCAATTCTCTTTGGCACAGGCAGCTCAGCCCCAAGCATCACCTGTCCCCAGGCAGCCTGGCGGCCCTGATCTGCACTGCTTTGACATCTCCTGGTACAAGGAGGGAACAGAACACAGCCCTACAGATGCGGCTTTGCCAACTCCAAAGAGGGAAATAATCACTTTTTGACTTGCTGGCTATGTTCTTGCTAATGCAACCCAGTACACCATCAGCCCTTATTGTTTATGCTCATACAAGAACGTAAGCCTCTTTAGCCAACTGCTTTAATGTCTGAGCTTCTTCTAAGAGACTATTTTATTCACCCTGTTCTTAAAGCTATGCAACATTTGAGGACAGCTTTCTCCAAGTGAGCGATCACATCCACATGCATGACAGCAGCAGTGAAAGGACTGGGCTCCATGAGCAGAAAGTGAGTTTTGGCGTGGTCCCACCCCACTAACAGCTGGAGCCAATTTTCTTGTGATACCATTAAAAACAGCTTGAGTGCTCGTCACCCGTTTCAAAGCAGAGCTTCATTTTAAAACTCCCTTCTGAAGCGCAGAAAGATGATGGAGTTGGAAGGTCCAAATGCTGGGGATTTTTTCATAGGTGCATTCAACTTGAAGTCACTTGAATTGGAGCCCAAAACAGTGAGCAAAGGAAAGGAGCAAAGGAGACAACCAGGAAAAGAGCAACATTCCTTACCATTATGGATTACCCGTGCCTTATCTAGCTCTTCTGTAACTGCAGCTGAGAATTTCCCCACAGGTGTAAAGGAACTGAACGTAGGCTGTAAAGCACTTTGCTGTCTGTGGATGCTGATCAAATAACAAATAACTGATCCACATTATTTGTAAGATGCATTATTCTTATCCAGTACGAAGGTTATTTGTAATTTTGAGCATTCATGGGTCACTCTCTATTCTGATGAAATCTTTCCCACAGCCACATGACACATTCTAATGCCATTACCTGATTATAAATATATGAGTGTATGGAAACGATCAAGGAAACCTATGTTGAAATATATGAATGACACAGCGTGTGCTAGAGACACAGCTGTACCAAAGCTTTTATCTGACACCAAATGCAATACTGCCAGTTTTCCCAAGGGTGCTCCATTTTGTCTGACAGATCTTGACTTCCCTTTGGGTTCTCAGATTCCCCCACCACTACACTTCTCCATCTACCCTTAGATACAGTGGAATCCAAGGGACAACATGACTTCTTCCAAGGCACCCAGACAGCCGCTGCTTCCTCATCAGTGACGGCACTGCACAGACAGGCAGTGACGCCCATGCTTTATTAGCAATACCTGCCACATCACAGGTGAGGGTGAGAACAGCCCCTGTCAGTGGTTGCACGTGGAGTGACTAGATGAGCTCACTAAGACTTCCCGTGTTTGCTCACACACATAAGGAGGAGCGACCAGGATGGTGAAAGATCTCTGGCTGATGCTTTTTTGGGGATCAGGAGGAATCTGTCAGGCCCTGACAGCAGCAGTGGATACACCAGGACAGGCTCAGGCTGCTTTCTGCTCTGTGCCATGAACCTTTGTGCCTTCAGTGGTCTGACTCCCCCCAGCAGTGCTCTGCACGAACGCCGCTGCTGTTCTCCTCCTGCTTTTTGTGCTGACATCTCTGCCTTTCCTTCTTCAGTCCCTGTTTGGAATGCTTATGGAGGCCATTACTCTACCTCCATTTAAAGCTCTTCTCAAAGCTCAGCTGGCATGTTTACAAGAGCATACATCACTGCTAGTTACAATAGCACATTAAGACCAAAACCCTCTCACTATGATCTCTTTAGAGCAGGTATTCCCTCTCCTACCCCCCCAGCAGCCCTCCATCACAAACCTATCAAACAAAGGTCATTCAGGTCAACACCTGAATACAAAGAGTCTTCCCTCCTTCTCACTCACTCAGCCAGCTGAGAACCAAGAGCCCAGAGCTCTCTGCCCATACAGTGAGACATCACTGCCTCTGGCACCTGGGAAGAAACAAACCCAGCAGGTTGCAAGGAGCACAGTGCATGCACCAGTGAGACAACAAAGGTTTTGCAATACAGCATGTGCATTTGTTGGTTTTGCTCCTTGATTTAACAGATGTTTGTTATTTGCAATCTTCAGGACTGAGGACTCGCTGAGAAGTGGTGGGATTATAGAGACGTGCAGCTATTTGAAATTCCTTGCAAGCAGCAGGGCAGAATCCTCCTTTTTAAGGTAGCAACAAGGCAGAGGGTACTGCTGAATTCCTGCAGAGTCTTTGGAGAAACCGTGCAAGAAGAGCCGTGAGCTCCCCAAAAAGCTGCCTGTGTCATTGGCATTTGAAGCCTGTGAGATTAAACCAAGTCCAAAGGGGCTCTTTATAAACCACTGAAAGTTTCTGGTCTCTTCCATTAAAACCTTTTTAAAACATCTGCAGGCAATGAAAGAGAAGGAGGTACCTTACAGCTCTCAGAGCTGAAAAAACAGAGGCTTACCTGAAGGACACCAAACCACACAAAGCACCTAATTGTGACTGCTGAACTTTCATCGCCTGGTCGGTTCATTGCAAGGGTGGGAGAGGGAGCAGGCAGGGAGACCTGCTGTGGTGGGCAGAGGACAGCAGCTTAGCAGCATGACCACATTCAGCATCTTCTGCCAGCCCAGAGCAGAGGGCTTAGAGCCAGCACAGAGCCAGAAAAGATGCATACTTGCAAAATATCAGAAAACAAATTTTTTGCAAAGTTTCTTTGCCAAATCCTGACTCAGAATTTGAGTGGGAGCATTTCCTTTTTTATTATTATTTATTTAATTTATTTAATGAAAATACATGGAAATGCAAACAAAAAGATAAAAAGCAGAGGTTAAACCGAGGTGTTCAAAGTTGCTGACTTCACGGGTACCTTGTGCAACCCCAGCACGTTGCCCTGAGTGGCCAGGAGGACCAGCACAGCCTGCTCTGCTCTGCTCTGACAGCACCTAAGCAGTTAATTCCTTCCACTCAAGAGCTGAAAAATCTGCCAAGGCAGAAGACCAGGCCTTGGAGATCAAGTTACACATGAGGAGGGGGTGGAAGGGGAGAGGAAGAAAAGAAAACAAGTTCTCTGAGCTCTGCACTGCGTTAGGCTCGGCAGGCCCAGGAGGGTGGGGAGGAGGCAATATTCCCCCATGCTGTCTTGGGGCAGTGAGAAGCACCGCGGACACGTGTGTTGTTGTGACTCCAAACCTTCCATTCAAACAGCAGGAAGCAGCCTGCACTGAACACATTAGCTCTGGCCAACATCAGGGGCCTTTTCATAGAACCAGAGAAGGTGTGGGTAGGGAGGGACAGGACTGAATGGCCGTTTCTGGAGCAGATGAAGCACCTCTCCTCTCACAGCACCTCTGTGCTCATCTACACGTTTTGAGCCAGCCAAAATTACTTTCTGTTCACTCCCTCCTTCCCCTACCTGTCTGCCTCTCACAGAGCTCGGGGCACAGCTCACGTAGGGGGGTTTCCATCAGTCCCAGCATCAATCCAACTCCACTGCCCTGAATGTCGATGCGTAATGAGGTCCCACAGCAGCGAGCGACAAGCTGGCCCTGAGCAGGGCTTGCTTCTCAGCCCCATTTCAGGGCAGGACTGCAGAACCTGCAAGAAGCCCTGGGCTCCCTGCCCTGCTCTGCTGCTGGCAGCATTCAGCAAAAATGAAGAAAATGGAGAAAATCTCATGTAACACACAGAGGAACAAAGCGCCTGTCACTGTATGGGGATAACAGATTCTGAAAAGCATCAACGTCCACTGATAAAAGCCTTCATGGGATCACAACACATGCTTCCTGAGAGTACTTTTAATCGTTTCTATAAGCACTATTAAGTACTGTCAGTGTTATTTTAGTAAGACAGTGCCTTCCAATCAGGCATTCGAGTTTCAGCCAATTCATTCACAGGAGGATATATTTTTGGAGAAAATTGAAGTGCTTAAAAAAAGAAAACAACAGAAAAACCACCTCCATCTACAATGACTTCAGTTAGTGCTTATCCACTTTCAGCTACCCTCGACCTTCCTTAGGTTTATGGGTGAAATGCCCAGTGCTCCACAGCACTTATTATTCCCAGTGTAAGAAATTAAGTATACACTACCGAGGAG